TCAGCAAATTTCGTTCAGATGACTTTATCCTTAAAACCTGTGATTGCAGGGGCCAACATGTTGTAATTGATATTGATGCTCTGAAAACGCTTGTTCAATCTAACCCAAGGCAACAACTCGTGAAATGGCTCTGAAATTGCACGTCTCTCATGAAACAACACGTAAACATCTAAAGAATATGGGAAAACTCCATAAAGGTGTTTGGGTGCCTCACGAATTCTCCCACGATCATCGTTTCCAACGCATTATATAGGCTACACTAATGTGACGTTTAGCGGTTCGTTTAACTATTATACGTGATGTCCCCCAGTGGCACAGCGGTATGTCCGCGGACTTATACTGCTAGAAACCGGGTTTCGAAACCCGTGGTGGGCAGAGCACAGATAGCCCTTAGTGTAGCTTTGTGCTTAATCACAAACAACAACAACATTATACGTGATGTACGTTTTTTTTGGGGGGGGGGTAATAAAAGTGTTCCAAAACGCGACATTAATTTCTTGACGACATAATACAAGTTCTTTAGTGATTGTCCTGGCACCATTTTATTTCTTTTGAAGAAAGGTTGCCAATCACATTAATTAAATTACTAATAATATCAATTGTCAGAGTTAAGCTGTGGATTTGCTTGCTGATTAGATGTAGGCACATCATAAATTACTAAACCAATTAGAAATATATGTAATCTGCTAATGGTCCTGCTTCAGAAAAGGCTGTACTATAAATTGCATTTTTCTTTAATGTTACCAATGTACCTTTCGGTTAGTATCTCACTTCTTTTATACTTTTAATTTTACACTCCTGTTTAGTGTCAGAAAGAGATTTTGAAAAAGTTACTAACAAAGGATTCCAAATAGCATATCACCTAGTAGATGTATACATTTTTTGAAAAAAATCGAAAGAAGTTTTTACCAGTTGCAATAATTTTGTATCAAAGCACAGGTTTCAACAAAAGACAGTGACAAGAAACGAAAAATATCGTTTTGTTTAATTTCAACAAACTTGAATGCCCATCATCGTATTTGCGGCGTTATGATATACTTGACCTCAACAATCTTCCAATGATACTACCTATTATAAGCTCTTCAAGAATGACTTCTGACAGAGTAGAACCGGTAACATCGTCGACATTAGTGAAGGAAATGAAGTATTCTTCGTCATTTATTTCCATAACTTGGATATTCACCATTCTTAAAACTACTTGGCTGAGATGCCAGTGTCATGATACGTACCAGCTCCTCCTGAAACCAAGAGAATCAAGCACTAGTACAAAAACATAGTTTTTTACTCTGATCAGCAGAGTGATGTGTTGATCTTCCAGTTGCCTTCTAGCTTCAGCAGCCTGCTTTTTCTTTGGGAAGGTTTACAGCTACACAAGTGATCCCCAGTCTCCCTTATGATATGTATAATCGCTAGAATCCGGGTTTCGATACTCGTGGTGGGCAGAGCACAGATAGCCCATTGTGTAGCTTTGTGCTTAATTACAAAACAAACAAACACTACGCTTGTAAGTCCCCAGACATACCGCTGTGCCACTGGGGGGCATAATGCGTAATGAACTAAGTAATTATCACCTGATAGCACAACTATAATATATCCATAGATCTAGTATTCAGAAAGACGTGTGTAGTGATTTGGTTCCAGTAAAATGAAAAGAAAGAATATTGGGTGTGAAAATATACAAAAAAATCACATTTTAACAGAAAAGACAAGGTAGACGCATGAATTACTCATACTGACCATCTTGTACAAAGCCTTACTATTGTTTGTTTTTTTATTTCTCGCAAAGCTACACTAGGGCTATCTGCGCTAGCCGTCCCTAATTTAGCAGTGTAAGACTCGAGGGAAGACAGCTAGTCATCACCACCCACCGCTAACTCTTGGGCTACTCTTTTACCAACGAATAGTGGGATTGACCTTCACATTATAACGCCCCTACGGCTGAAAGGGCGAGCATGTTTGGTGTGACAGGGATTCGAACCCGCGATCCTCAGATTGCGAGTCGAGTGCCTTAACCACTTGGCCATGCCGGGCCAACTTACTATTGTTTTAATAACAAATGTTAAAATAAACTTTACTTTAAAAGGAACTTAAAATTGCTTTTCTAGTTACTAAAGTAAATTACACACACACAACCAGCAGGATGACCATTAAGAAAAAGCGTGATCAAGACTTCCACAGCAAGTGTTGCTCCTTCAAGATAGAAACAAATCTCTGAAGATACTAAAACTACCCTCTTGACAAATCGAAAACTGAATCACAAGTATTTGAGATATATCTGTTTCATGTGACAATCATAAAAAATGTAGGATACAAAACAGCTTTTCCGTGAAACAGTAGATAGTCACCTTGATTGAATCCTGCTTCAGAAAGTAACATATGGAGCTAAATTGCCCCAGTACTTCAACCAGATTTCACTTGTTCCGAATTAGAACTGTAGATTTTTTTTCTTGTAAATATATATACTAGAGGAGAGTGAGATAAGTGTTATCGTAATCTGGAAACCATAATCATAACCTGAGACACCTGTGGATAATTCTCTATGGTCTTAGCATTACCAGGTCTCATGTTAACATGGTGGCCAGAAGGTGCTAACTTTTACATACTGTAAGCAAAGTCAAGAAAGAATATCTGATCAGTACCTTAAAAGGTTTCAAAAAGCAAAATTAGTCTAGTTCAAGATAGGTACATCCCCTTTGTCTAGAAATTGTAATTAAGTACTAAAACATATACTTTTATAATCAATATTTGTATGGTTTAGACTTTTGCATATTGCATAAACAAAAGTTTTGGGGGTAGTAACTATCATATTTAAGCTTTAAACGTGACATTTTATTATGCTTAAGCACAAGCCTAGAAACGAAGTTTCAACGCATATTTCTTTGAAGTTTTAGTATTCAAGCATAATAGATGTGTGTTTTCTATCTCCGTTATTTAGTAAAGTGAACATTTAAGAACATATGAATTTTTCTAAATCTCTGCACGTTTATGTAGGCATCAAACGTAGAATATTGGCCAAGGAATGTAGCTAAATTCATCTCACTTTAGTTACCTATTGCTCCGAGTCATTTTCCCATGCTACCACGTGCATTTTCTAATTGGAAAGAATACTATAAAGTAGAATGCACTAAGTGATAGTGGCCATCAATCTTTTCCACTGGCAGGTCAGTTGATACCTTGAAGTTTTATTATCATCCATTATATTTATATTGGAATGACTCTCAGTAAAGGTGCTGTTTTTGTCCTACATACATTCATTTTGGTTGTGTGAATAAAAGTGCTTTCTCTGTCTTTATAACATTGTGTCCAGTCTTTTTCTTCCTCGGAATTCCATCAAAAGTAAAAGAACTGTATAGGTATCTCTGTAATACGTTTTTCTTCAATCTCTCGAGGAAAACAGTTTCCTCGGAAGCATCTCAATGTAGTCAGTGGAGTTGTTGAGTTCTAAATGTTCAGTATTGTCTTAGCACAAGTGCAGGAACAGTCACGCGATCACTTAGGTCTTTTTTTATTTTTTCAGACTGCACACAAAAGTATACAAACCAAATTTGTTTCAAGGTAGCTTTATCTTCTAAACGAACTTCAATATGGCTATTTTAGGATTTTGGTGTATTAAGCCATTCCTTGTGTTTTATAAGTTGAAACACTTTTAAATTGTAGTTTAGTAGGTCAATATTTTAACTTCTAATTCGGTAGACCGTTTAATCTTTGACGATTTTAGTCGCCTTTTGTTAACCCTTTTTATAAAACACCAATTACGTCTAGTATTCCAAGTCTTCAGCATAATAACTTATATACCATAACTGCTAGATAATCTAGTACTAACTTTAAATGTATTCGTGAGGAGCATAAGGAAAGAAAATAATTAACTAATTATAAATTATTTCTGCATAATTCTACAATTAGCACGCCCAATCTTAAAAGTTTTGTTTATTTATCTTTACGCTATGATTAGGGTTTGTTTTTAGTAATCCCTTCATTACATCATTGTGAACATCAATTAGACCGAAATACAGTTCTGATAGAAATAAAAACATGCAATTAATATACAGATTTTAATATCGCAAATTCAATATAAACAAAACATTGGTAAACGTTTCTTAAATCTGTTTTAGAAATCCAAATTAAAAATATAGATTATTCTTTGTTTTTAAAATCATATTACAATTAATATTAAATATGAACAATAAAACACATTGTAGAAAAGCAAATTGTAATTATTATTAAGTATCTCATTATCGTCGAAAACCATTCACTGCTTAATAGTCTGAGGCTGGTTCAAACTTGAAAAATGATTATTAAACAAAATATCAATAATTTGTAAATAAAACGTTCACAAAATAAATAGGTGTTTCGTTTTCCCGCTCAGTGTAGCTATTTATAAAATTAAGAGGCTCGAGTCTTAAAATATTTTCGAGGAGACAAGAAAATCCATTATATAAGTTGATAGAACTCTTATGGTGATATTATTTTCTTTTATGATATATTTTATCTTAATTATATTGTTGTAAGCTATATTATTAATACTTAATTTAGATGTTTTTTCCTAGAGGGAGTGTGTTATGACGTCATCTAGAAATTTCATGAAACTCGAGAATCTAGAAGTTTCTTGTAGTAAGTAGAAAACAAGAAAGAATATAAAAATGATTGTGTGAGTTAGTGTATTAATAAATGTTCAGTGAGTGATTCAGCTCAGTATATGTTAATGTCTTAGACAATGAGAGTTATTGCGTCTATTCAGTTACTCAAAGAGTTAATCAGCATTTTTGTTATTGGTTGAAAATTCTGTAAATATTTTTATATGTTAGGTGTCAAATTAGTTTCGAACTTTTTATTGAAACGTTACTTGTGAAGTTATGCCTATATGTAAACTTAGCCTTTAACAAACGTTATCGAAAAGATAAATGAATTCGTTATCGTTACGTGGGCTGGACTTGGCATTATTTTTAAAACAGTATGAATGAATTTTCAGTTTAGAGCATACTATTCAAAACTAGAATAACTTCTGATGCAAAACTGTCTTAATTTAATTTTGGTAAGTCTCAATTAGACCGAAATACAGTTCTGATAGAAATAAAATAATCTTACATCACATAAGGCATCTTTATACAAACTTTAATGCAATCTTTCGTTTCAATAAGACACCAGAACGTGATATTTTCCAATATATACATATAGAAATAAATACAAATAACCTAAATATGGGTGGTGGAAATAAAACATAAGATAAAAAAAAAATATTTACAAAGTAAATGTAAGAATATTCAGTGCAATATACAGGAAGATATAACTGATCAAAATATACAAATTATATGCTTTTCTCTATGAAACGAACAGTTATATTAAGTAACATAATGAACGGTTGTAAGAAATATATACAGAAAGTGAAACATTTGGAAAAGTGACGTTTTCCTTAAAACATTTATACCGTGCCCGATGTTTTTTTACAATAACGAAGACACAAGACGATCGCCAGATGCACATAATGTATAAACTTCCCGAATGTTTCCGTAAAACACTGGTAATTTTCATTTCTTCCACTAGATCTATCCGTTTAGAGAGAGAATAAGACAAAAATAAATAATCAGTTTAAAAGATTGCTTTAAAAAATACCACACAAGTAATTGAACTGAAGTTAGAAAACTGGAAAAGAAATAATTTTGATGGGATTTCAATTCAATTTCGTAATACGTTTCAATTCTTTTAGTGTATTTTAAAACTAGCATAATTAATGATACTGATATCATCTTCTTTCACGTTAATTGTCCTAATAACACAATATGGCTACAGATCAACTCTCACGTTAGCTATACAACTTTCAGACGTTTTCGATGAAACGTTTAAACACAAGTTTCTTTGACATTTAGAGCACTAGTTGAATGTTCCGCGCTGTTCTACACTATACGTATTTAAATAAAGCTTTCCATCTGATGACCTACCTTTACTGGATAAAGAAATGCCAAAGCTGTATCTGACCCGAAAGCATTACGAGCATTGCAGGTGTAAATGCCCATGTCTTCCCAGCTGATGTCCCGAATGATTAAATCTCCATTGTTCAAGATCTGACAGAATATTGCAAGAAAGGAAAAAACATTAAAATATCACTTTAGATAATTATTGTTGTTAACCTGGTGATTTCTAATTACTTTAATGTAAATCTTTTGTAGATATATACCATAGCTATTCATTACCTTCACCAATCAGAATTGTTGATGTCCGAGATGTGTGTGGTATATTTTTACAGAAATTCTCATAACGTATCCTTAAATTCGTTTTAGCACTGCTCCAAGTGCGTGAACTAATCAACACCGTATTGACACTACGAAATGATAAAAAGGCTAAACTAAATATACACATCGTAACTAGTTTACCTAATAAAATTAACCTTGAAAGACGCTTGATCTGACAAGAAAAGGTAAGTAACTTACTCAACTTTCAAAAGAATAAGATTATAATGTTGCGAATGCATTTACAGTGTTGTAGCTCATTACACAATAAATATATAAATAAAATATCCATGTATTTAATTGACACTAACATTTCAGAATTTCTGAAATTTTGATAAGAAACACTGGGAGATCGCGCTCCTTTGAGCTGTGCGTGGCCTAGTAATTAGTGTTCCAGACTGCGGATCTATATGTTCAATGTTCGAGACGTTACATGTCGCTGTACATGATTCGCACTTTGAACTCTAATAGTTAAGAATATCCACCTAGGCGACGGGTGTTGCTGACTGGTTGATTTCCCTCTGATCAGCAGTTCTAGAGTGAGGACTGCTACGGCTAAATCTTTGGGTCACTAACCTAGCCGTTTAGTCCAGGTATCGCGTAAGGCGCCTTCCAGGTTTAACAATTCCAGTACCAAATGTGATCTCACCACAATGATAAAAATAAAAAAGGAAGATACAGAGACACTTATGAATCTATTTATCACTGATTGGATATTTGGTTAAACAGGAATTGAAATAAAATTTAAAATAAACACGAAAAATAAGACCTTACGTTATTTGTTTTTGGAGTTACCTGTGCTAGATACCTTCCCTCTAACCAAATTAAACAAACCCACTACTCGATTAAAATAACCCAACTAAAACACAACACCAAAGTGACAAACGCTAATAAAGAGAAAGCACATGCTTTCAAAGAACACAGAGTTATCTAGTTGGGATTCTCTTCCAAGTAACAACATCAGCAAAAATTTTAGCAATTACCTTCGATTCCAAATTAACGTGGCAACAGCACGTAAATATTAGAAGCGAGTTATCTAAGAGTCTGTCTGACAGTAACAGTGTGTTCGAATAGTTGTGCAACAATGCTATGTTTGTTGATCGTGGAACTCTGTAAGATTTAGTTAGTATATAATATTTTTTGCAATCTGGTTATGTGTTTTTTAGATACATTTTCGGGTGAGGCTCCTTGGTTATTGCCCGTCAGACTCCTGAGATAACATGCTCTTTGTCAGATTTTAATTTTGAAATATTATAAGAAAAACACGGGTAAAAACGAACTGATGAGCAACTGAGAGAGTTACATCACACATGATAAATCTAGTCATATTACTTCTCTCCTCTAAATATTATTAATAAGAAGCTTAAAAGGCCACATAGTACTACTAGGCAACCCGATTCTTTGATGCAGACATAGCTCTATTTTAAAAGGGTACTTATGTCAAAATAGGATTATGTGTGTGTGTATACGTGCACAACGTACAACTGTACAGTGCGCAGATGACAGTATATGCAATCATACACAGGAGAAGAGTAGCGAAATTGTACAAGTTAATAGTACCCCATACATGGAAATGGCCTGGAAAAGGTTTATACTAAAATATTTGTGGATAATCGTCGATATATTAATACACTGTGAAAATAATGCAACAAAGTAAAGGGATATTACCAAAGAACCAGTGAAAATTGTACGAATAAACAACATGTGAAGGAAGATGTCTGACGAACACCTAACACACCTATATGTTACAAGCCTATAAACATTGATCCAGCATACACAGAAACCCGCCGCAGAAAACTGGTCAGACATCTAAAATGCACATGACCCTCCCAAGTCCTATATCCTAAAACCCACCCAGATGGGATAATATAGTCCAAGAGCTGGCAGTTAATGGTGTCGACTAGCTGCCTTCCCTCCAGCCTATTATTTCTAAATTTGGGGTGGCTAGCGCAGATACCCCTCGAATAGCTTTGCGCGGAATTAAAAAACAAACAGATTCTTCTTGATACAGTTTCTGGACGTTGTTCCACAACTAACAAACACTTACCATATACTTCTCGCCATTCTCTAGCTGTGCATTTTCTTCACCTCTTGACCACGTCACATACGATTCTGGTAGTTCGGAACTACGACAGAACAACTGAACATCATTTCCTTGTCTTTCGAAACGAAAGCGTGTCCACATGTAAATCCTTGCTGGCAAACCTGCATTTAAAGATTAGAAAAATAATGTTCAACAATTCAAAGCTGCTTTAAAAACACAAGTTACCTCCGGTCTTTGAGTTCATTGCTTAATACAATAAATGATTAAGTTTTCATGAATGAAATTATTGTGAAATGACTAATAATCACTCCCTCCAGTGGCACAGCGATATGGTGGCCAATGCACAGATAATCCACTGTGTAACTTAACTTCAAACAAACTAATGATCATCAATATTCCATGAAGCAGTTGAATTACTTCAAACTATTACAACTCGTACAATTGTTTATATCTACCTGCTAAAAAGTCTTGTTTGTTTCAAAAAGAAGACCCGTTACATTTGAGAATATTGTAGTATTTACAAATTTACATATTTTCGACACGCTAAAAACCAATCACATAGGGTGAAGGATATTACAATTAAAAACAATTTTTTTTTCTTCTATAGTAAACTTGCTTTCAAAAACATCTTGTATACTTCGATTGATAATATCGGTAACTGCATTTTTATTTAACTGAAGTTTAGTCTCAATTTGTAAAAATGATGTCCTTGGTTCCCTGCTACCCTTGGATCTGTATTTCCTCTATTGTCGATCGTGCTCTGCTTAATGGCCATGATTACGTACTATTTCCAGACGCCATAATCTATATTGTAACAGCTTCTGCGAAGGACAGTGAGTTCAAATCTTAGATCACACATCTTGACAAACTTTGCATAAAATCTCTGATACACAAAAACGTCGGTTTCCAAGATGTGTTTAATCAGACCAAAAGCTGCAGCCAGTGGTTTGAAAGATACACTGTCAAATGAAGTTGCTATGATTCCAATTTCTTAGTTACGAAAACAGCCATTGATTTCGAGAGGTAGCTGGAAGCTTGTAAACTTTATCCTTGTTCATTATCTTGTTAACGGTATCAGGAGATATGCCCAACTTCATCACAATGACTTTTTATTATTTTTTTATGGAAATCGGAGGTCTGTCATTCATAACCATATCCTTCACTTGGCTGTTGAGAATGCTGCTCCGGATTGAACTGTAGTTTCCAGAACATTGAAGGTTCTCTTCTTCGAAACGTTGTGTTCTTTTAATTTAGATAGTTTAACACCCTCTCTATAAAAAAAATATCCTTCCTCGGAAAGATCAGTAACACAGTAATTATGTTATATCCATAGCTGTACTGAATAAAGAATGCTTATAGGTGATAAGCATGTCGCCTGTAGCACCACTTCTCACATCTGCGGTGACACTACAGTAGTGTATGCAGATCCTTCTTACAAAGTGCGATTAACTCTTTGCTCTAAACGTGTATTTAATAAACGGTATTTAAGAAATAGTAATATATTTAAGAAACACCTTCTGATAATAATTTGTTTACTTTCTTGCATGCAGGATGAGTACTTTTAAAATCTTACTTTCTAAGTACAGTCTTCCATTTCACACACACAAAAAAGAGAGACATAATGGCAGTAACCTATGTGGTTCGTTTCCAAGGCTCCACGGCATGCTTTTCTTTTAACGTTTTGGCGGTTAAGCTAAAATCTTTAAATTTCTAAAATGTTTGCCCATATACTTCACACTAAAAGGATCTTTTTGCATATATTTTATGTTTTGACTATCATGTACTTATATAAAAACATATTTGTTTTTAAATATTTGGTACTTATACAATTTGGGGGAAAAATAGAGAAAATTATCATTAATGCAATCTTTGCTACATGATAGTCCTCTTCATCTAAGAATGGGAATAATATAAAGATATTACAACACTTTCGAATTCGATGACGAGGAACCCACTTTGAGACTAATAATGCTTGGGGACGGCTTGAATGGGTAATGTACAACGTTTCAACAAGGTTTTGATGATCACAGAACCTTGTCGAAACGTTTTCATTTGCTGTTATGTTAAACTTATATTAAAGTTTTTCTTCATTACCCGTTAAAGCCGTCTCCAAGCATTACATTACAACACTGTCCTTCTGTTAACATTTTCAGACATGTGTTATGACATAACCATTTAAAAATTTAGTGATCATTTAGTTTCGTGCATCACAGTTGTAAGTTTTGTTGGGTTATTTTCAGACACATTCACGTCTTTAAGGCATGAATTATACCATGTATACGATGTGTGTATTTATCAATTCAGTTTTCACACAAAAAACAAAACAAAAAACATGGACTAACCAATAAGCGTTTCTTTGAAACAGAGAGGTTCCTTCACAACCACTCCTTCCTTTGACATTGCAACTACTGTGTCACTGCTGACTCGACTGAAAGGGGTCTCTGCCACGCATGTGTAGGTGCCCTCATCCTCCGGGGTAAGGCAATCTATGTATAATTTGGACTGGCTCTGACTGGCTCCATCTAGTGGCGAAGTATCAATGTTTCCATCATCTATTAGATTCGTCTGAACGCTATCCACAGAGCCCTTGAAAGAAATTCATTGTAGTAAAAAAATACATCAGCCAAGTTCCTTCTTTCTGCGACTTAATTACAATTTGTTTTTTTGTTTTTTTACAATAAACGTTTAGTCACTAAGAAGAAATAACTCGTGATCTAATCAGTGCTTTCAAACTGGGTAGTCGGGAATATAACCATGGGGGTGGGATGAGAATGTACACGAAAAAATAATTATAGCGCATACTGTATACTAATAGGTAAGAAGTACCTCACATACAGTTTACATTACTGTATAAATACATGCATGTCTGTTTCAACCTGTGTAGGACTATAATTTTTAATATTTAGTGATTGGGGCTTTTTTTTCTTTGCCGGGAGATGTGAATGTGGGTGTATGTATGTACGGATGGGAGCGACAAGTACCACATACTGTCTAAAAAGTTTGAATAAGTAGGTGAGGGAGGGGTGGAAGTGGAGTCGGCATGGCCTAGGGTTAGCGTTTTCGATTCGTAATCTGGCTTCTGCCAAGTCACTGAATCCTTGAGTAAGGCACTTTACCTGTATTTGCCTCAGCCTAATGCATGGAGGCTAACTCACCATGAACTGGTCATCCTGTCCCCATTCTCATCCGCATGTGCCCACCAAATCCGTAGTTTAAACCGGTCCTGTGTGTCTTTCAGACAAGGTTGATTAATTTATAACGTTGGTATGGAAACGAGGTTAGTTCACCTTGTGATGACGTCCTTTGTACGATATTATGTTATTACATTTCGAAAGCTGAATATTTTAATTTCTCAAAAAACATATCCAAATGACAAGATTAGTTATAGCAGTTGCTTATTTTATGGTAAAATATTAATTTAATAATCAACATGATGAAAAATGTTTCATGGTATTACAGTAGTAAAT